AGAGTCTTGCTCTGTTGCCCAGGCTGGAATGCTATGGCGCAATCTCAGCTCACTGCAACCTCTGTCTCCTGGGTTCAAGCAATTCTCCTGCCTCAGCCTCCCAAGTAGCTGGGATTATAGGCGCCTGCCACCACATCCAGCTAATTTTTTGTATTTTTAGTAAAGACAGGGTTTTACCATGTTGGCCAGGCTGGTCTCAAACTCCTGACCTTGTGATCCACCTGCCTCAGCCTCCCAAAGTGCTGGGATTACAGGCTTGAGCCACTGCGCCCAGCCACTGTCTGATTTTTTAAAAGTTGACTTTAAAAGTTACTTAGAAAATTGACCTTAAAAAGTTGGAGAAGGAGAGCAGGTGTATTGGTTCGTACGGGTCATCCCAGCACTTTGGGAGGTTGAGGCAGGAGGGCGGCTTGAGCCCAGGAGTCTGAGACCAGCCTGAGCAATATAGCAAAATTGCGTCTCTACAGAAAAGTTAAATACTAGCTGGGCATGGTGGCCTGTGCCTGTAGTCCCAGCTACTCAGGAGGCTGAGGCAGGAGGATCACTTGAGCCCAGGGGTTCGAGGCTGCAGTGGGCCATGGTCACCACTGCACTCCAGCCTGTGTAACAGAGCCAGATCCTGTCTCAAAAAGAATAACGTGGGGAAGGCAAGCTCGCCCACCTCACCATCCTGCGCCTCCTCCAGGCTCCCGCTGCTCCTTTCCCTGCTGGCGCTGTTGCTGCTTCTGTTGGTGGGGGCCTCCCTGCTAGTATGGAGGATGTTTCAGAAACGGGTCAAAGGTGAGTTGGCTCCCCACACCCCTCTCCCCCCACCTGGGGTGGTCAGGCCCTGACCACAGCCACGCATTTCGAAGCTATGTCCTTGTCCCCTGGTATTGCCACCAAATGCCCCACCCAGACCACACATCCTGGGTGATCCCACAGGGCTGGTCCCAGAGGAGGCACCCTTGAGTGTGGTGGTTACAGGCTGCAAGAGGTGGCTCCCTAGCAGGAGGCTTTCCCCTTGCCGGGCCGAGGGTGGCTGCCCCATGAAGCTGTGACCCTCTTCTCAAAAAAATACAATACCGTGGAGAAGGCAAGCTCGCCCACCAGGGATTACAGGCGTGAGCCACCTCACCCGGCCAGTGTCTAATTTTATTAAATTGACCTTGTCTATCTACTTTAAAAGTTAGAGAAAAAACTTTGGCATGGTGAGCTGGGCACAGTGATGTGCATCTATAGTTCCAGCTACCGAGGAGGCTGAGATGGGAGGATCACTTGAGCCCAGGAATTCAAGACCAGCCTGTGTATATAAAATAAAATAAACCCTTGCATGGTCTCCCCACCATAAAAAGTCCGGGTCCCTATGGGAGTCATGGCCCTCCATGATCTGGCCCAACCCACCTCCCTCTCCCTGTCCGTGCACTCCGGAAACCAACTTCTTGGATCTCCTTGTGCTTTAATGAGTGCCTCAAGCTCAGCCTCTCCTTCTCTCCTTCTGGGTTTGCTCTGAGCACTTGGAGGGTCTCCCCAGCCCTCCCTCCCCTGCCCTTTCTTCCCTGCCCTCTCTCCCCGGCCCTCCCTCCCTGGCCCTCCCTCCCCTGCCCTCTCTCTCCAGCCCTCTCTCCCTGGCCCTCTCTCTCCAGCCCTCTCTCCCTGGCCCTCCCTCCCCTGCCCTCTCTCTCCAGCCCTCTCTCCCTGGCCCTCCCTCCCCTGCCCTCTCTCCCTGGCCCTCTCTTCCCTGCCCTCTCTCCCCAGCTCACTCCCGGTGAACTCTAACAGTTGTCCTCAAACTTCCTGTTCCCTGGGACATCTTCTTTGACTCCAAAGAGTGGCTTGGGCCCCTCCTGGTTATACCTCTGCTGTCACAGACTTTGGGGAACCAGACTGTCATTGCTGGCTTCCTCACCTGCCTTCCCACAGGCATATGCTTCAAGGAGGTACAGAACCAATATTCATCAAATTAATGTGTTATTCAATATCTCCAGCCACAACGGGCACCCCAGGGGCCTCCAGGCAACCTCTAGTCCAGCCGCCATCCTCTGAGCTCAGATTAAAAGAGAGAACAGGAACTCTTGGCACTCAGTAAGTAGGTGCTCAATAAATACCTGATAGGCAAATTGAATAAGCACAGGAACAGAGGCACACATGGAGGTATGGCCACCAGACCTCTAGGAGAGCACATCCCTGGCCGAGGTGAAGTGTAAGCCTGAAGCTTCCTCCATGTTCGGAGAGCTTGAGATTCCACGGGCAGAAGATTCTCAGAGGAATCTTTGTCCAAAGCCTTCCAAGACCTCAGTGAGACTAGTGTGGGAAGAGATGGGTTATCCCATCCCACAGCTGCAGGAGACGATGGTGCATGCTTGGTGGGGGCACTGCTCACACACACACACCCACCAGTGCCTCCCGTGGTCCCAGGCCTTAGGGGGAGAAATCAGCCTCAGTTGATCTGTGCAGGGTCTATGGGGAGATAATCACTTCCTCTTTCCTGCCAGCTTTGCTTGAGTCATTTTCTGGTAACCCCACTCTAAACTTCAGCACCCACGTGGACGTCACTGACCACATAGGCGCTTGTCTCAGCTCTGAGCCCCTTTCGGTTTCCTCATTGCCCTTTCACCCAGAAAGACTCTCACTCCTCAAAGAGCCTTCTTCCGCTTAAAGAGGATATATGTGATGGTTGTAGGAAATCTGAAAAACGAGTAAAGGCACAAAGCAGGAAATAAATTCCCTATCGTCAATGATAACTAAAAACCCCACCACCTAGAGAAAACCAGCCACTGGCACCTAAGTATGTCCTTCCAGTCTTCCTTCTCTGCCTATATATATCCATC